TCCGAAATAGAAGGGTAAAATCCAAGATGTCAAATTGGATGAAAGTGGCTTTATTCTTGTTAGTGATATTTCGGAACCATTTAATCGTCTCCCGAGTCCTTCCAAAGGTTAGCATGACATTTATTCAGGACACAAGATGTTATTTCCTTTAAGATACTCTGGAAATTAATCCCAACTCAGATTTGGAGGATTAATTAGACGGGTCTGTAAGCTATTGACAAAGTTCGGCTTATGATCCTTGAAGAGAATGTATGCATCTTTCAAACCAAATTTGCCCATTCTGTCAGCAACTCCACATTTGTTAGCAAATTTACAGATGTCTTCATTGATAGATGATAAGGTGTTATTGCCTTTGTCTTTTTATAAGAGCTGGTAATTTTGTCAGTGACAATTCTGTCATATTCAGCAGGTTTAATTTTATAGAAATTTTTGGATTTGTCGGCTTTAATCCATAATTTATTAGATTTCATTATGTTGTTAAGGTCTCTACCAATTTTGGTTTGGAAGTAGTTGTGATAATTCTTGAACTTAATCCTTTTAATTAGATCAATCAAATCGCCTTCGAACGGTCCAAGTAGCTTGTTGCACGGTGGAGTATTTTGGGATCTCAGGTTGTATGTTTCAGGATTCAGTTCATGATCATTTTTGGGATTACTGGCGAAATGGGTTTTCCACCTCATTCTTATAATAAGGTCGATGATCCTGTCTGTAAGGTAGACAGAGAAAAGATGCAATGAAGGGTAAGGGATGTTTTTAATGAATAATCCAGAGTAAATTTCTCCATTTCCATCCGAATAGGTTGAAATAAAAGCTGTTTAACTGGAAGTATACCAAGTAGAGCTCAACTTATAAAGGTAAGGAGCAATATATTGATAATATTAGTGGAAAATATACATACATATGAAAAATATATCTAAAAAATTCCATACATGTATATTTTCAGAAAAAATTTTCCAAGAGGAAGGATCCAGGTAGAACTCAATGTCTAGGACAGAGTAAGGATATAATAAAAGGCTTAAACACTAATATTCCATGGTCATAATTTATTCCATTGGAATCGTAAATACGATCCAAATCATCAGACCTACAAATTCAAAAATGAAAACAGAAAAACAACTCCGAAATCAAAACAGAATTTAGAGAAAGTGTAAGTATGAGGATGAGGACAGAGAGAATTTTGGAGATGTGGGTGGGGTGGATTTAAAAAAGAGGAGAAAGAAAGTCGACGGATGTCTAATACATAAAGATACATTTCGTGGTGACATATACACACCACAGACAATTCGGATAGGAAGGGAAAAAAAAAAAAATATATATATATATATATATATATATATGCACTATATATATATATATATATATACACACATATGCACACACACACATATATATATATATATACACACACACATATGAGCACACACAAATACATATATATATATACACACACATATACACACACAAATACATATATATACACACACACATATGCACACACAAATACATATATATATATACACACACACATATGCACACACAAATACATATTTATACACACACACACATATGCACACACAAATACATATATATACACACACACACATATGCACACACAAATACATATATATACACACACACACATGCACACACAAATACATATATATACATATGCACACACAAATACATATATATATACACACACACATATGCA